GATTTTTATAAAGCGTTACTAATACTTTGTGTGATCTTGATTCCTCTGTTTATACAACCCAGAATTGTATCAGCTTTTTGGCTGCTGCTGTACACTGCTGGCTCATAATCAAGTGATTTTTTTACTAGGACTCCAAGGTCCTTCTCACAGTTACTATTTTTAAACAAGGTCTTGCCCAATCTGTATTTGTGCTTTTGGTTTTTCCTGTGTAGGTGTAAGACTTTGCTTTTCTCCACATTGAAACTCATTTTGTTGGATAGGGCCCATTGTTCAAGTTGTCAAGGTCTTTTTGGATCCTGAGTTTATCTTCTGGGGTGTTGGCTACTCCTGCCAGTTTGGTGTCATCTGAAAATTTGATGAGCTCGCCTTCAATTCCCTCATCTAAGGTATCATGAAGGTATTGTATTGTACTGGGCCTAGGACAGAGCCTTGTGGTACCCCACTGCTTATTTCTCTCCACGTGGATGTAGTGTCATTGAGGACTACTTGTTGAGTATGGTTTGCTAGCCAGCTACAGATCCACAGATCCATCTGGTGGTGATATTATCTATTCCACCTTTTTCTGGTTTACCAAGGAGTAGGTTGTGGTCTACTTTATCAACTTTTCTAACTTCTTGCTATTTTCTGAGAATAAGGGATATCACAATCAGCTGCCTTTAAAATTTGTTCAAATTGCATTGACTGCTAATTCCAGATAGAATTCCAAGAGATTGCTTTTGACATTTAAAGGTGTAAACAGAGCAACTGTTTCTTCCATATAACTTTGCCTGATTATTAAAATCAAACTTAACAATAATATCTCTACATTAAAAGGCAAGCAGGCAGGCAATAATCAGAAAATAACCTTTCAGTGGGAAGTTATTTCTTTGGTGTACCCTCCTATGATTAATAAGATTTACATTTGATTGTTTCACCTATAATTCAAATTAAAAACATCTTCATTTTGTTAAATTTTTGATGCTTTCCTTCTACTGAGTAGCAGTTCTAACATTATCAGTTTTGGGTGTATTCTTTCTACTGTTTATTTCTTATAAACAGGATCGTTTTAATCAAGAACTGTATTCTTATATTCTTAAATAGTGTTTACTCTAAAAATTAAAAAAGGTCATCCTTGCCAAAACTTTTAACTGAATTGTTATTGTTTTGCTAGCATTACCCAGTGTTGTAACCAATTCAACTGCTGTTAACTATGGTATTTCTTTTAGTAATATTATTTCTTCAATACTTAATTTGATATTTTTAAAATGACAGGCAGACAGTTATAAACATATTTTAGGAGAAAAGGAAGTTTTAATAGTTCTGAGAAGTGATTGGCAATAAACTTCAAAGAGATTCATGTTCTGTTTGTATATTTTGGGAAGCATATTCATATATGTATCTCATCTAATGATTATCTCTGTGTGTAATGTAAAGAAACTAGAAGGATGAAAGCTGCATGAAACTGAGAATTGCTAAAGCAGCTTCCTTTGCAAAAAGAATATTAAGTAGTCAGTGGAATAGTGTGTGTCACATGAAGAAAGTTTCAGTTCACTTTCTGGCATGTTCAGTTGATGGGAAGAAAGAAAAATTAATTTTGATCTTAAGTTTTATAGGAATTGGATTTTTATTCTCAAATCTATACCTAAAATGCAATTGCATGCCAAAAAAATGCACTTCATAACACAAAACAGAAGCAAAACAGAATACACACACACACACACACACACACACACACACACAGAAGCATATTGCAGAAAGTAGACACTAAATGTAATTACTGGGAGCAACATGCAAGGAAAATTCATGCAAATTCATAAATATTTCAATAAACAAGCCAAAACATATGGCAAAACTGAAAGATAAATATTTGCCCGTTCTTTTCTATTTCAGGTCAAGATAGACTATTCATTTATTTTAAATATCTTTACATATTAAGAAACTCAAGGTAGGATACATAGTGCTATTCCTATTTTTTCCTTACAACAACCACCTTATGAAGCAGACTGGGCTGAGAATGAATAACTGGCTCAAAGTCACCTGGTGAACTTCCTTAATTGAAGGTGGACTAGATCTCAGATCTCTCTATACATAAGGTGGGAAAGAACACGTAAGGTATTTCTGGATTTCTTTGCAACCTATTCATAATAGCACCAATTTGGATCATGTCAGAAAAAAAGAGGATATAGAATGGAGAGCAACCAGCATTCTAAGCTACTAGCCCAATGTCTCCTCCATGGGAAAAAAAAATTCCCTTGCAGGCCCAAATCACAACTAGTATTTTTTGACCTTGACAGTTATTTTGCCTGTATATCTCCCACGATCCGACATTTGGATTTATTTCATTCCATTTTGGCTTCAGTGAGTTATCCTGCTGAGGGACAGATGGTAGTCCAAACCCTCTTATGTAATATTTCTTTTCTTGAGCTCGAGAGAATAAAAACATGTTTGATAAGAGGGGCAATCAAAAGATAGGAGGGTGTAGATTTTGCACCTCATCTTTCCATCCCCAAACTCCATTTTCAGTAGTAGTTATGTATATATGGATGGCAGCTTGTAGAGTAAGAGGCAAGTTTAGGGGTCAAAAGGATCATCAATATGGTGTTGAATGAGAGGACAAAGGGAATGTGTGTCATCAGAGCTAATGCTGATCTCTCAGTTTAGTGCTAACAGCTTGGAGCCTGAAATCTTTCTTAACAATTTCCCTTAAGATTAGAGTTAAGTTACAACCTTTCATATGGCTTTGTGGCAATAGTTAAAAGTACTACTTTCCTAAAAAAGATAGGGATGATACAGTGTTCTCCTGTACTGGTGTTCTACGCACAATACGTACATGCCTTGTAATTGTTAAAGGAAAGAATTATTGTCACTGCACACCTCTATTTGTGTCAGTTCCAAATAATGGAAAAGTGGAGATAATAATAGATTTATCTAACAGCAAAAGTACAAATAAGACATGGAATAAATATTCAATGGAAAAGTTAGGACACCACATATCTGTGAAATCACTCTAGGCATGAAGATTTTTTTTTTTTAATGTGCAACCATGATTGAGAAAAATCAGACTTCTGGACTTCTCACAAATCCTAGTTGACTCTTGCTATGCTCCAAGTGCAGCCAGGTGTAAAGAAAATTGTTGGCAAAGGCAAGTGGTATAGCCACAGAATCTCCATGAATAAAGGCAATAAACTATAAAGGTCACCTCACAATGAGAAGATGTTTAATCATTATTACATATTTTTTTAAAGAAAATATTATAGCTTAACCAATTTAAACATAAAATTAGTCTTCATTAGATCTCACTATACTGGACAATTTTTGTCCAGTTTCCCACCTTCCCTTTCTAGGAAGGTGGTGGAAAAAGTGGTTGCATCACAGCCCTGGAGGATCCTGAATGTTATGGATTATCAAGACCCTTTTCAGTCAGGTTTCAGACCTGGTTATGGGGTACAAATGGCACTGATTGCACTTGCTGATGATCTCTGGTGAGCACAGGATGGAGGTAATATATCCATCCTTGCTCTCTTTGACCTCTTGACAGCTTCTGACCATGGCATCCTTTTGGGCTGGCTGTGGAATTTGGGATTGGGCAGTGCAGTGTTGCACTGGTTTGGTTCCTTTCTCTGCAGCTGGTTCTAATCAGTTTCAGTAGGGAGCAAGAGGTCCAATCCACAGTCACTATTTTGTGGAGTGCCAAAGGGCTTAGTGTTCTCTCTTTTATAACATCTACATGAAACTGCTGGATAACATCAACCAACACTATGGACTGAGATACCATCAATATGCTGATGACACTCAGCTTTACATCTCCACCCATTGACCCAAGTAATGCTGTGGCTGCCCTTTGGAGGCTGTAGGGATCTGGATGGGGACAACAGGCTTCAGGTAAATCTTGGTAAAAGGGAGTGCTGTGGGTATGGAGGATCTGGAAGCTTATCATCTTTAGTTCTGGATGGAGTGGTATTACCCCAGAAAGACTTGGTGTGCAACTTGGAGATTCTTCTAGACTCACTTCTGCTTGAACACCGGGTGGAAGTCATAGCTAGAAGAGCTTTCACACCACTTTATGTGGTGCATCAATTGCGCTCTTATCTGCACCCAGTCACTCACACTCTGGTCATCTCTCACTGGTATTATTGTAATACCCTTGAAGAGTATTCAGAAGCTACAATTGGCCCAGAACGTAGCAGCATAGACAGCAGCAGCCCTAGGATGGTACATGAAACATCACTGTTATGTGAGCTGCTCTGGTTGCCAATTTGCTTCCAGGTACAATTCAAGGTGCTGGTAATTACCTTTAAAACCATTTATGGCATGGGTTTGGGACATCTGCAGAACCATCTTTCCTCAATGAGATTATCCTGCTTCACTTGTACAGGCAGAAGGAGCCTATTGTGGATCCCAGCAGCCACGGAATTTTGGTGGGTGGGATCCAAGAGAAGAGCCTTTTATGCCAAGGCTCCTGCCTTTTGGATATCATATCTCAGGAAGTAAGATCTGCCTTTCTCTTTTTAGCCTTCAGGAAAAGCTTTGAAACATAGCTATGCTGCCTGGCATGGGGTTCTGAAGGAAACGCTGCTGGCTGGAGATGGTTGGTACACTGACAGAGAAGGCATGCCACTTCTCCACTCCTAATCCTTATTTTTAGCTTGTTTTAATTTTTGCAATTTTAATTCATTTTTATATTTATAATTGTTGAATGTTTGTTTTATCTTAACTATGAGATAGGTAGCAAGTAAATTTGATAAATAAACAAAAATTTAAAAAACTGATCCATCATCTAAAATTTCTTTTCATCAAATTGAAAATCAACATCTAAAAGTCATATGAAGCCTCCAAGTGTTATGCAAATTTCTTAGGTCAGTAATAATAATGCTGGATTAAAAGATACATTTTCTATCCAGAAGTGAAAACAGATGCTGGGTAAAATATGACCTGAAAGGAACAGAGGGGAAATGTAACATGAACATCCACAATGAGAATTCAATTCAAGCTGAAAAAATAATTTAGATTTACACATTGCCTTTACCTTTGGTTAGTTTTAGTTATGCTTTATTAAGCAAATATAAAGTTATAAACTATCATTTAACAAACAACAGCTGAATTTTTATTTTGAGCTAACCCAACATGGTTTGCTAAATACATGAATTACTTAGATGGGATGCAACTTTACAAAGAATTATATTTTATTATTGAAATAATGTGATGTCTACAATTATTTCAATTCAGAAAAAAGTCATATATAGTTACCTAATTATTAAAATTTGTAACTACCAAAATTAATCACTAACCACATAGAAATGCTGTGGGATATGGGATACATTCTGAATTCTACTGAGTCTTTCACTATTTATCTTAAATAACACAATGAAGAATTTCAAAAAATTTGTATCTCAAAAAAATGACAAAGATTATACTGCACATAATTCTAATGCTTTTATATTGTGTGTGTGTGTGTGTATGACAAAGAAATAAAAAAAATCATGATTTCTTAATCATAAATATTATCAAGAGTCATTTAAACAATTCCTCAGAGTAAGATACATTTTAATTTCCAATGTCTTTTATTGGGAATGTTCTATAATTTTTACAATGAGACACATTAATCACTTGGATACTACTTAACACATTTAAAAGAGGAATGACATTTAATTTTTTGAAAACATGTTTCAAAGAGGAATGATATTTCTATTTTTTGGAATTTTTCTGTTCCATGTTTATCTCTTGAGAGGGATGTTTTCCTTCAGCTTCATTTTCATCCTCCTGTAAAACAAAACATTGAAATATTTTATGTGATTTTAAGACAACTGAGCATGTCTCCTAGTCCTTGTGCATGCAGTATACTATCCCTGAATAACTATATATTTTTCATCTTTGTAATCCCAAAGCTACCTGTAATAATAAAATTACCTTAAAAAAATACAACAACATCAATAAAAAAGACAAAACCAAGATAAAAAAAACATACATTAATTACAGAAAAAAATCACAAAAATCCTACTAAAATGAAGATAACATAGTTTAGGTGTTTCCCTTCATGAAAAATGTAACTGACACTGCCAAGAAACTTGCAACAAGATGTTACTATCCAGGGTAAATTCTAATGCACTGAATGAGTTAACAATTTATCAGGGCCTGCAAAGGAACACCATTCAATTCTAAGAAGTTCACTACTCAAAGAGCATGAAAAATATTCCTAGCTGCAAGCACTAAGTGTTCTTAAGAAAATCAGATATGTGCTGGAGAAGAGTCACGTGAGTGCCTGGTTAATTTGTTTATGGATTATTTCAGTTCCTTATTACAGAGAGTAGTTTGATAGTTTACTCCACCTTGTTCCAAACAATGTGATGGCTACTGTTGGTGCACATCAAATGAAGTGAATTCATCACCTGAAATCTACAGGAGCAGGAGGAGACTGTAATGGCATCATCAAGTTGTGTATCTATTGATCATAACACATGTACTAATTCTTGTTCAATTTTTGTTCAATAGTAGCTCTAAATCCATTCTTTTTAGAATTAACATTTTATGCAAGAACAATGAATATTATTTTACAGTAAAATTTCTGTAAGTTTCCTTTTAACTCTATCCACTCATGCTTATCTTAAGATGTCTGCCACGCTTGAAAGCCACTAAATTTCTCTTTTCTATCATTCTGATTCAAGAAATATATGAAGACTATAACATTGGCCTAAATTATAGGGTAAAAAGCAAATACACAGACATACATGAAGAGCAAATCTAACAGAAAAGCTTCAGGCCTCCTCAGATATCAGCCATTTTGAGTAAGTACTTTGCCCTGGGTAGCCTTTGGCTCTCAAAGTTGATTGACATCTGCTCTGGGCTATTTAATTGCTCATTCTTGCCCTCCTCATGTTAATATAAATTAATAAAATGAATCAATGAAACTAAATGAAATTTTGCAGAATACTCCACATCACATCTAATCTATTTAGGTCTCCCCCAATCTGCTGAAGTTCTTAAATTCTTCTCAAGTGTTCTCATTTCCTGTATGTCAATTATACTGAGTTGAACTGTTGTGGAACTAGAATGGAGACATGGTTGAGAAGACTAGAAGAGTTCAAAGAGTACTAACAGAAAAATTTGGGAGAAGAATAAATTAAAAATATGATAGATAAAGAGAAAAATGAGTTACGGTAGGTTAGAGAACCAGACATTTAGCCACCACTCTGTAACAAATGAATATTTCTTTAGGCTATAATGATAAAGTATTGGTGGCTGAGTTAGATTTAGTTTAACATATTTTGCCCTCATGAAAGTAGGATATAGAAAACTTAGAAGTGAGAGTACAAAGTGGGAGAAATAGCTAATAGCTTCTACATGTGGATTCCTGTAATGTTACATTTTGTTTTTCAAAGATGAAGAAACCTAACAAGGAAATTCTTTAGTAAACAATTCAGCCTTCTATTTTTCCAAGTATCAAGCAGTGTCTAGGTGTCAAACAACTGGTTCTTTGAAGATCCAGGGGCAAGGAACACATCAGTAGATAAGGTGATCTCAAGCTTTACTAATAATTTTAGCAAGAGATGTAAACAGAAGCATAAAGGCCTAATATTCCAAGCAAAATGCTCTCACTTGAGCTGTTGGGAGCCCCTGTGGCAACAGCAAAGAAATGTCAAAAGTCAGGTCTTGCACAGCACTGAGTGCTCAATCCTATCCTGAACTTCAAAGGCTTCTAGGGTTTTCAGTAAAATATAATGGCAAAGTTTCTACCCCTGCTGCCATTGTAATTAAACTAAAGGAGCTGACCTTGACTAGATAATTATGGAATAGGAATGACAGTTCTGAGAACTTTACTGAAACCAGTGTTAAACTGAAGAAACCTGAGGATTTTTAGAACTGTGTGAAGATTCATCCCTGACCTTTTCAAGCAAGAGTCAGAAAGCTGGTTACACATAACTCAAAATGAACCCTAAACTTCTATAGTTTTCTTAAAGAAAGTGAAATAAAAAATATCACTAAATTCCTTGAAATATAATGTATTCCGCAGTGTCTTTCTTCCTTCTTTCCTTCCTTCCTCCCTCCCTCCCTTCCTCCCTCCCTCATCTTGTCAACTCCTGGTGACCACCTAGACAACATTTTCAGAAGCGGTTTGTCACTGTCTTCTTCTTTGGGTTGATAGAGAAGGATTGTCCCAAAGTTAATCATTTGTGTCTAAGACAAGATTAGAATTTAGATTCCTGGTTTGTAGCCCAGTCATTTAAATCACTATGCCAAGCTGGTTCTCATTTCTTCAATGGATTTCATTCATTCATTCATTCATTCATTCATTCATTCATTCATTCATTCATTCATTCATTCAAGCAGATTATATCCAGCAAATAAAATACAAATCAAAAATAGCCACAGTAAACTAAACATAATTTTAAGCTTAGTCAGCCAACTTTCACTTGGAAGCTACTTTTAGTTAGGTGATACTGTCTTCATCAAAGCTTTTTTTAAAAGAAATGCATTGTTTTTACTTTATTCCAGAATGATATAGGGAAAAGGCTATTCAAATGTGAAAAGACTGTGACAAAAAAAACCTTGCTTCTCTCTCTCTCTCTCTCACACACACACACACAATATGCCACTCAGCAGAATATATTGAATAGACTGATTCCCCCTGAAAAAGAAGGTACCAAAGGTAATGGGGACTCAAGATTTTAGGAGAACTGAACAACCCATGACATCACATCATCCTTTGAAAGATATTTCTTCACCCAAATAGATAAACAGAATAACTATAGGCAGGCACTGGAAGTGACAACCACATTTTGCCAGCTTCCCCACTGAAGTTATTTAGGGAAGCTGGCAGGGACTGTCAGACATCATCTGTCCTTAGCTGATCTGCAGAAGTGCTTGCCATTTTGCTTAGGGAAGATAGGGTAACTCTATAACATTAAGATCTCTATCATCTTGTTTGATGTCCTTCAAATTCCTCCCACTTCTGAAGATTGTTCCCTGTATCCATATGTATCATCACCAAACTTTGTATGCTCATTTAATGGCTCTGTACCATTTTTCTAACACACTGAGTTTCCGCTGTAATATGGACCATGGATCATGCACTTCAATGCCAATTTATGTAACTCTGGATCTTCATTTAGATTTTGTAATTTGGCTTGCATAAATGTATCATATTCTTGTGCGCTTGACTTGGATACTTACATCAAAACATAGCAATCAGTGCAAATGAGATAGATCTCTCTTTTGGTATCCCGCACTCAGCATGTAAGCAAAGAGGCGATGTGTTCCAGTGAGGCATTTCATGAACAATTTTTTCTTCAATTTGAATATCATTGTGGTTAAATTTAGCTGATCATTTGTCTGCTAATTAAAAAAAGATGCTGTCATATTTCTGGCTAGTTTGAATCATAATGAAAAATAAAGCATTACGTAGATATAGTACATAATGAAATCTTGTTATATATCTTGATTCACCAAGAAATGTTGAAAAGAGGATGATGCACCTTCCAAGGATCCTAAAATCAGTCACACTATTCAATGTATCAGTAAAGGCTTTGTCCGCTGTTGATCTCAAGGTTACTTGATTCATTTAGATGTAACTCAGCTTTTCATATTTAATCTTAGCAGCCATATTAACCATATTTTGTTGGAATAGATGTTCTCCTCTTAGAAGATTAAGCTCATTCTCATGGTTCATTATTCAATATGCATAATAACACATTGCCATTATTTTCTTGTTGTCATACTAGCCATCATCTCCAAGATGAAAGCTGTCATAGCAGCAATGGAATTTTAAAATTATTCGCAAACTATCTCCTCGTCTAGCAACAATTCTGATTTAGTTTCAATGTTGTTTGGTATAATGATGATTGCCAATTTGTGCATTAAATCTCTCATGTTCAAATGCTGATTTCTGGTCAGGATCAATGACAGTGGAAGCCTCTGGCATGTCTCAAATTTGTTCTTTTGCAAGTCGAAGGGACACAATGTACAGCATCTTCAATAATTCAACAATCTCATTCCATCATTGTGGAATATACCAATTTTCAATTTACTCTGTTTTGAGTATCATTGAATACATTGAAATAAATCTGTTTTGCTGGTTGGAGCTTGGCATTAAATGTCCAATGTAATGATGAATTTGCCCTTGAGTAATCTCAGAAGGATTCCATCCATTCTTCATTGAAAGAACTTCTTTGACACCAAAAGAGGCAGTTGTATAGTCTAATGTTCTTCCTGAATTTGTTTGCAATACATCATTGCTGTATCAATGAAGAAGTTCATAAGGTAGAGGTTTCAAATGGCCTATCATGACCTTTCCCTTCATACAGTAAAAATTGGTGGTTTCTCCAGGGAATAAGAATGCATGACAGTGAGGGGAGACTTTGGTCCTGGCACCAACATCAGCAGAAATATTACATCATGCAAGCCATGCATTTTACTTTACTTCTTTCTCTATTGAGGTTTTGTTGTTAAAGGTGGGTATTGTTGTGTTCCCCCTTTATGGATTACTGCCTTGTTGTGGCGAAGGGGCTTGTGTAACTCAATGAAGCGATAAGCTATGCCGTGCAGGGCCACCCAAGACGGACAGGTCATAGCAGAGAGTTCTGACAAAATGTGATCCACTGGAGAAGGAAATGGCAAACCACTCCAATATCTTTGCCATGAAAACCCCATGGACAGTACTAAAAGGCAAAAAGATATGACGCTGGAAGATGAGCCTCTCAGGTCGGAAGGTGTCCAATATGCTAGTGGGGAAGAGCAGAGGGCTAGTAGCAGTAGCACCAGAAAGAATGAAGCGACTGGGCCAAAGCCGAAAGGACGCTCAGCTGTGGATATATCTGGTGAAAGGAAAGTCTGATGCTGTAAAGATTTTTCTCCATAGGAACCTGGAATGTAAGATCCATGAATCAAGGCAAGCCAGACATAGTCAAAAAAGAGATGACAAGACTGAACATCGACATCTTAGGAATCAGCGAACTAAAATGGACAGGAATGGGTGAATTTAACTCAGATGACCATTAGGTATACTACTGTGGGCAAGAATCCCTCAGAAGAAATGGAGTAGCCTTCATAGTCAATAAAAGAATAGGAAAAGCAATACTGGAATACAATCCCCAAAATGACAGAATGATCTCAATTCGAATTCAAGGAAAACCATTCAATATCACAATAGTCCAAATCTATGCCCCAACCACTGGTGCTGAAGAGGATGAAATTGACTGGTTCTATGAAGCCCTACAGCACCTTACAGAATTAACACCAAAAAATGATGTCCTTATCATCATGGGGGATTGGAATGCTAAGGTAGGAAGCCAAAAGATAACCGGATTAACAGGCAAGTTTGGCCTTGGAGTACAAAATGAAGCAGGGCACAGGCTAATAGAATTTTGTCAAGAGAATACGATGGTCATAACAAACACTCTTTTCCAACAACTCAAGAGACGGCTCTACACATGGACATCACCAGACGGTCAACATAGAAATCAGATTGACTATGTACTCTGCAGCCAAAGATGGAGAAGCTCTATACAGTCAGTAAAAACAAGACCAGGATCTGACTGTGGCTCAGATCATGAGCTTCTCGTTGCAAAATTTAGGCTTAAATTGAAAAAAGTAGGGAAAAGCACTAGGCCACTCATGTATGAACTAAATCATATTCCTGATGAATATACAGTAGAGGTGACAAATAGATTTAAGGAACTGGATCTGATAGACAGAGTGCCTGAAGAACTATGGATGGAAGTTCGCAACATTGTACAAGAGGTAGCAACTAAAACCATCCCAAAGAAAAAGAAATGCAAGAAAGCAAAATGGCTGTCTCAGGAAGCTTTGCAAATAGCTTAGGAAAGAAGGGAAGCGAAAGGCAAAGGAGAAAGAGAAAGATACACCCAATTGAATGCAGAATTCCAGAGAGTAGCTAGAAGAGATAAGAATGCCTTCTTAAATGAACAGTGCAAAGAAAGAGAAGAAAACAACAGAATAGGGAGGACCAGAGATCTCTTCAAGAAAATTGGAGATATGAAGGGAACGTTTCATGCAAAGATGGGCATGATAAAGGACCAAAATGGCAGGGACCTAACAGAGGCAGAAGAGATTAAGAAGAGATGGCAAAACTACACAGAAGAACTATACCAGAATGAGCTTAATGTCCCAGATAACCACAATGAGATGGTCACTGACCTCGAACCAGACATCCTAGAATGTGAAGTGAAATGGGCCTTAGAAAATCTGAGCAACAATAAAGCTAGGGGAAGTGACAGTATTCCAGTTGAGCTATTTAAAATCTTAAAAGACGATGCAGTAAAAGTGCTACACTCAATTTGTCAGCAAATTTGGAAAACTCAACAGTGGCCACAGGATTTGAAAAGGTCAGTTTACATTCCAATTCCAAAGAAAGGCAATGCCAAAGAATATTCAAACTATCGCACTATTGCACTCATTTCACATGCTAGTAAAGTTATGCTTAAAATCCTACAAGCTAGACTCCAGCAGTATGTGGATCGAGAACTACCAGAAGTACAGGCAGGATTTCGAAGAGGCAAAGGAACTAGAGATCAAATTGCCAACATACGCTGGATCATGGAGAAAGCTAGGGAGTTCCAGAAAAACATCTACTTCTGCTTCATTGACTAGGCTAAAGCCTTTGATTGTGTGGATCACAACAAATTGTGGCAAGTTCTTAAAGAGATGGGAGTACCAGACCATCTCATTTGTCTCTTGAGAAACCTATATGCGGGTCAAGAATCAACAGTGAGAACTGGACACGGAACCACTGATTGGTTCAAAATTGGAAAAGGAGTCCGGCAAGGCTGTATACTGTCGCCCTGCCTATTTAACTTATATGCAGAGCACATCATGAGAAAGGCAGGGCTAGATGAATCAAAAGTTGGAAGTAAGATTGCCGGGAGAAATATCAACAACCTAAGATATGCAGATGATACCACTCTAATGGCAGAAAGTGAAGATGAACTAAAGAGCCTCTTGATGCGGGTGAAGAAGGAGAGTGCAAAAGTTGGCTTGAAACTCAACATTAAGAAAACCAAAATCATGGCATCCGGCCCTCTCAATTCCTGGCAAATAGATGGGGAAGAAATGGAGGTAGTGACAGATTTTATTTTTCTGGGCTCCAAGATCACCTCATATGGGGACTGCAGCCAAGAAATTAAAAGACGCTTGCTCCTGGGGAGGAAAGCTATGGCAAATCTGGACAGCATACTAAAAAGCAGAGACATCACCCTGCCAACAAAAGTGCGTATAGTCCAGGCCATGGTTTTCCCAGTTGCAATGTATGGCTGTGAAAGTTGGACCATAAGAAAGGCTGAGCGCCAAAGAATTGAGGCCTTTGAACTATGGTGCTGGAGAAGACTCCTGCGAGTCCCTTGGACTGCAAGTCGTTCAAACCGGTCAGTCCTAGAAGAGATCAACCCCGACTGCTCTTTAGAAGGCCAGATCCTGAAGTTGAAACTCAAATACTTTGGCCATCTAATGAGAAGGAAGGACTCACTGGAGAAGGACCTAATGCTGGGAAAGATTGAGGGCAATAGAAGGGGACGACAGAGAATGAGATGGCTGGATGGAGTCACTGAAGCAGTAGATGTGAACTTAAATGGACTCCAGAAGATGGTAGAGGACAGGAAGACCTGGAGGAACGTTGTCCATGGGGTCGCAATGGGTCGGACATGACTTCACAATTAACAACAACAACAAATTGTTGTGTTCAGGAACTCTTTCAGTAGTTATTGGTGATATTCATTCATTCTTTCTTTTCCTCCTCCATTTTTTTTCTTGTCTTTTCATTCCTTATTTTTCTTGTGATTCTGGAGACGTGCAGTCATTTCATCCGGTTCTTCATGTCTCCTCCCTGCTACATCTCGAGGACATTTGGTGCCATCTCTTGACTGTAGTGTCTTTTTCCATATGGCATAATTATGCTGACAATTTGATTTGATTTTAATTTCTTTTTATCACAATTTATATATTGTTGCTCTTACCTCAGAACAATTTAGAATCTCTCCTAGCTTCTCTACTGAGTTGTAGGAAGTGGTCAGAGATAATTTAAAAATAGATCTCAACATCCTTAGGATGAGGGTAAGACCAGTGTACCTGATATCTGGCAGCTGAACTTTCAGAGTAGGAAGCTGTTGAAAAGTGAAATAGGATGAACAAGGACAAATATATAGTGGTTAATGTAGCTCACTTGATAACTTTCAGCCCTACCTACCTACGTCATAGGGTTGTTATGAAGAAATATAAGGGGATGGAGAGTTCTTAAAAAGATGGGATATAGATATGCATGTTTGTGTGCCAGAGACGGGTCATATAAAACAATAAAAATATCCAAGTCTTTATTTATGTATCTTAAAATTGTTGCTTCTTAAAAGCCACATGATGATCCAATTCCTTGCTACTGGGTGGGGGGGGGACTGAGAGATTTTGAGACTGGCTGGGAAACTGATATGGATGTTGAAAATGAAGGTCATATGATCACAGCAGCACTGAAGCAGTCACAATTTCCCCACATTTTACTCTCTCGGGAGTCACAAATTCTGGATTTTGGCCATATTCTGTAATTTAAACCATCTGAGGTACCTTGGTTCAAAAATTATTGCCCCATGATGCAATATTTTGCCCAGTGAAAGATCATAACAATGAGCATTTTAGTAATATACAGATTATAGGTAATAATCAATCTATTTATTGGACTGAAATTCCTATTGGCAACCAAGCTAGCTCTATGTAGACTGAACAGCAATAATTCAAGCAAACATTTATATTGCCAGTACTTACTGAGCTAAGAAAAATGGCATAATGGCAAAACTGGACAAATCCTTCTTGAATATGATCTCCAACTGCTGATTAGCAGGAACTATGAATCCAAATTATGCACTAACTTCTTCAGGGGTAACAGCACTCCATTTACTACTAAAAGCAGAGCTAGTTGGGATTCAGAAGATTTCTGTCCTGTTGGGATTCATTCTACAATTGTTCCATCCCTTCTTGTCAGCCACACAAAATAGAGCAAATTTGGAAACTGACTCCACAGGAAAATTAAAACTATACCATATTTGAGATTGATTACAGAGAACAATTCTTGCAAGTCTGCTTGAGTTTTACCTTCTCTCTCTCTTATCAGGGATGCCCCAGGTTCACTAGCTTTTTAACATTACATCCTTTCTCTGGTTAATGGATGCTTCTCTCCTTGTTATCTATGACAGCTCCTGAATATTCCCTTCAACTCATTGCCATGGCTTTCTGACACTTCCTTCACAATTTCCAGGCACTTCCACAGCAATTCCTTTAAGCTCCACAGATTTTAAAGCTGAGTATCTTCAGTCATTGATACTTTATTCTGAACTGGGTAATCTCTGCCAGTTATTAAACAAGACAGGGAAGAGATACAAGTCTCTCTCCATTTGTCCTCTTCTTTCCTACCAATGTGAATGGGGATTGAGTATTCAGAACAAAGTAAAACTACTGCAGCACCAGGACTTTAATCTGCAACAGATGATCTAAAAACGGTTAGTGGTACTGAATATTGCTAACACATCAAACAGTACAAGGAAAGGTGTCTTCCCCATCTAAAATCTGTTGGAAGCCAATCACAAGAAGCT